GAAAGACTTATCAATCGCCAACATGATGACCCGCCCAGAAAGCAGAAGAAGCAACATCTCGTGGCTTCTACCTCATAGCGCTGCGGGATATCCGTGTAGTGACCGGTCTAGCAAGCGTCATCTCCATGTCTTCCATCATATGTGGGTTTGATGCAACGCTACCGCTTCATCTCAGAAACGTCTTTGGTTGGGGCAGCTTACCCGTAGGCATGACCTTCCTTGTCATGCAGATACCCTCTATCGTCCTTAGCCCTGTGGTCGGCTGGCTCCGTGATCGAGTAGGACTCAAATATCCTACCGCTGTGGGCTGGGCACTTCTAGTTCCACTGATATGGCTCATGGGCGTTCCTGGAGATAGTCACTTTCCCTGGGCCAATCCCGACAAGAATGGAAAAACCATCTTCATTTTCACAGTAGTGGCCGTAGGAGTCGCTTCGACGATGGTTCGTGGTGCTGGCGCCGTCCAGATGACTAGTATGTTCGCAGTTTTCTATTACCAATACCGATATGTACTAACAGACCTTACATTAGCTGCTGTGAACGAAATACAGTTAAAGAATCCGAAAATATTTGGCGAACACGGAGGCAACTCTAGAATCTCTTCCATGATAGAGGTATCGTTCAGCCTTGGGATGGTGATCGGCCCTGTTCTCTCGGGCTCTCTCACCGAGTTAGTCGGATACTACTACATGAGCCTTGTTTTCGGTGAGTTTTTAGGTGTTGTGGAATCCCATCCTATAATTCAGCTTGCTAACACCTGTTGATAGCTGCTATATCTCTAATCCTCACATTTACAACTTTCTGTGTTTTTGATTGCAAGCGTTCTACCAGAGCTTCTAATGACTTATGAATAGTTTAATCATACATAATGTAAGTAATTGCAGACTAATCGTCCGGGCAGCCTTAAAAGGATACGGGAAGTATATATGGAATTAGTACCACACTACGACAGCACTTATTAGTAAACAGAGCCTAACGGAAAGATGAAGGCCACTGGTCATTTTGGATTTCAATTCTATTCAATTCTATATCCTAACCCTAAAGCTTTTGCCTAGTCTTAGCTGGATGATGCGGCAAGAGATATACATACTCTTTAGTTTGAAATCGAATCTTGAGATGCTAACTCCCTCTGCTTTCTAAGCTCTCAGTGACAGATGCTCGCCTATCTTGGGATTGTGGAGTGTCAAGAATAGGGTGGCAGAAGACGAAGACCGAGTAAGTAGTCTCCGACAGTTAGTACCATACCGGAATTTAGGGGTTTTTTGGAATAGTGGTTCCACAGGCTCTTCCACTATTCTAATATCGGAACGTTGTATCAAAAGTTCGACATGCCTTACCGTTGCTCTGTCGGAACCAGTCCCCGATTGGAAACGCTTTATGGATAAATAACTATTCAATATCGGCAACTAATCGGAAATTGATACGTTATATAGACCGCGAAACCGTATATATAAGTATCTACTGTAGTATATAACGATATCGGCATTTTATTACTAAATATTAGATAAAAAATACATCCCAGGTGCAATATAGGAACTTCGTTGCTTTCCGATCAAACCTCCATGTTGTATTAATAGTAGAGTAGTCGGCAAGAGGGATATTGGGCGAAATTCCAACCCAGGCCGAAATACCACGCGCGCAAAAGGGGAGAGAGAGCCTGGTGTCGGTAGTCTGTGTTCCGTCGCCGTGCTGGGGGATATATCAGTGATAGCGCCCGGATTGTTTTGCCTAACCCGCAAGAGTCGTTTAAAATGCCTGATCTTAGAATCGAGGCCTCCTGACGTAACATCCAGCTTACGCCTTCGATACATACGTTTTTACATACGTTTTGTGGTTAACGTAAGGGAAATGGCTTTAGCAGAACTAGCTGGAGAAGCCTTGAAATTTGACCCAATGGCTGGCTGGCTGCAGGTAGGCTACGGCTTCAAAAGCTCTGTAGTAGGAATAACGAGGCTGCTAGGCTGAAAAGAATAGAGATCATTGGTATGTAAGAGCATTGTGTAGCATTGTCATCGGCCAATGTGTAAATGTCGTGGTCACGGTTGCGGTCAAGGTCTGCAATGAAGGCTGGCTTGGTGGTCTTTAGAGCTGCCATTGTGTTTGGCTAATTCGTGGAAGATATAGAGTGTTTGTCATGATATATGAGCTCGAGATATTGTATTGGTGTCCCTGTGTAGCTACCTGGATGTTGTTTGTATATCCCTATTAACCGTCTATCTTTTCGGAGTTGGTATCTTTACTCAATTCTGTGTCTGTACCGCGTTGTTCTTATGCTTAACGAGTAAGAAGCCGTAGGCCCTCGGTTTGGCGCAGAAAACAGGGGAGAGGATGAAGGGGGAAGAAACAGCGGATAAGACCCACGGCACATTGACGAGATACCCATCGTTAAAAAAATGGTATTGGAGTGTTGAAGCGATAACCATATCGGGTGACTATATCATTTCTTCTCAGACATAGTTCTTCGTTAGAGTCAATCCCTTTAACGCAGAATAACGAGCGAAGAAACACCCCAGAGCCTCACACGCAGGCTTGGTGAAGGTGGAAAGGTTCTCGAATATCATTGATCTGGAGGCCTTCGATATGCAGATACTCCTTGTTGATATGGTGACATTCAACATCAAAAACTGCTGCACCACCCGGCTGGCAAAAGGCTCTTATTCGAAGCCACCAGCTTTGAACTGCGATCACTTATATAGGATCAATATCCCTAAGGTAATATAACCATCATCTCTAGGTAATGCGTATCGGAAACAACATGCCTGGCTAGTTGTCGGATGATCGAAGTCGACATGCCGTAGTTATAATTAGCTATTTGCATCGTTCTTTATGTAGACTTTTGGCCCTGGGCTACCTGGACAAGGGTAGCAGCTTGCTATGGAAGCTCGCTGTGGTTCTCAAGTTCTCTCCATTGGGGGTCAATTATCACACAGAGCAGGGTAATGAATGACACAGCCATGGTGACGAAAACAAGCCACGTCAATGAGCTAAGCTAATTACTCCTGTATTTGAGTGGTGCAGACAAGGCTTATAGCCTGTAGCTCTTGAATGATTTAAGTGCTTCGAGCTGGTTTCGGCTGAGCTTACTTCCGAGGATATCAAGGACAACATATAGCTGGATTCTTATAATGCCCTTATCGGTGATGAATAACTAAATCTTATTCCTTCGATAATCTGATTTGGTTTCAATTCAATTTTTTGGCTATGTCCTGCGTTGAGGAAATCCGCACTCTGTTTGCGTCCTTCATGCTGCTTGTTGTTACTAGCCATATTTTGCTTCTTGTAGTAGGGTTAATGGCCACTCGCAGAGGTGGTAGTGTTTTGGAGTGGAATAAGAGGCGGAAGTAAATAATAACAGGGGCACCCGAGAGGAGCTTATACAGAGAGAGGAGGACCAATAAAGTCATCCCAGGATCAGGACGATCTTATCCGATCTCACTGCATCCATGCTCCCATTGATATCGAGGCCATATCGAGCTCTAGAAAGTGAGAACCCTTTTGTAGGCATTGTTTGAAGAATAGTGTCGTGGGTATTCAGGCCCAGCTTCTGCTAGGAGAGTGCCGAGCGCCGGAGGTTATATGATAAAAACGAGCGGCATATTGATATATATATAGAGAATAACTGGCTGTGATAGTTTTATTGTAAGCCTCCCTGTATGCCGTCTTTAGCCTGCCTCTCAGGTAAACCTCTACCCCTTAGATCTCTAGCAGCCTTTTTTGTCCATAGGGATATTATTCGACCTATGATGCCTGCAAATATATAAGGCTTATCTGTGAGCGGCCAACTTCGCCAACACAATATCCGAAATTTAGGCCTTTCTTATCCTTTGGTTCACTCTGATCCTCTCCTGCGTTTGGCTCGTAGTATCCATCATACTTGATGTTTTATAAAGCCATCTAGCTGGGAGGCGACAATACTTGATGCCCTGCATATGCATCATGGTAACTTCTAGGGGCATATTCCTGATGCATAATCCTCCCATAAGACCCGCTGTACCCAAGACCCTGAGTCTCCAGCTCCATATTGCTGGATTTATTAATCCTTGCAGGCGTAGTGAGATTTCCACCAGATCCTTTTTGCCATATGGCCAAATAATAGGCAAAAGATTATCAAGAAATATCAAGTATACCCGAGAGAAAAGCCTTGGTATAGACCACAAGATAGCTGAAGTAGAAAGCGGTGTGTTTGAGAAAAACGAGATGCGTGTGAACTGTCTTGAATCTGGTTGCATATAACTATGAGTAGATGAATCTGTTTGGAAAGTGAGAAGAAGACGCTGTCTTGAAATATATCCGGTTGACATTGTATTTCGATGGTCGGCAAACTGTTGGTGAGAAATATGGCCTTGGGGGATGCTGATATCACGGCAATGATAGGGAGTGGGCTTCGTTATGTTGCTGCCCAAATATATTGACAGTGCCTTAATCGTCTGTGCCTTCATCGAATGGTAGATGACGGTAAATGTGTATCAACGACCAGTAAACAAGAATATATCTGTATGTGTGAAGTCTTTAGACTTATAGCGGTGACAATCCGTAAGTGCGAGATAGTCCCCGTTAGAGTCAATTTCAGAGAGCTTGTGTGGATTTTTCAGTTTCTTGAGGTTGATAATCGTTAAATTCTTCAAACTTTATATCAAGATGTTCCTCCATCTCCCAGCCAGCTATGTCATATATGAGAGTACTTTGGCTGGGTATGAAACGAGTCTGCCATCCATGAGTAGCATCTTCTGCCTAGAAATGGAGTTGTGGTCGGCAGTAGTTCTCATTCCGTTCTTATCCACATTCTCCTTGCTAGTGCGTGTTGAATCAAGGGTTAGGGAAACGGGAGGCCATGCTAATTTATCAGTATCACTGTAGAAGTAAAACCGATGAGGGTATACGAGGGCCTATGTCCTAGCCAACAGGTTAAGGGGATGTTTCAACATCCAAGTCCATAGAGTCCGGAGATTCGTGATCCCGCTTCCGTCAGGATTTAAGGCCTTCCCTCTATTCTATATAGCCCCAGCAGGAGTTATTTGTGAAGATTTCTTCTCTGTATAGTGCGAGATTGAGGATATGGCGGGGCTCTGGGGTATTTAGCGGGCAGAGGGTTAGAATTAGTAAAAGGGCCAAGGTCAATAATTACAGGTCGCCCTTGAGGTGCTTCGATAGCCAGCCATTCACAGAATACCACATGCCGACTAGCAGTTGAATGGTGAAAGCACAATAGAGCCAGCCAGATTCTCGTTTCTGGTGCAAATCCGGCAATGGGGGCAGAGAGAGAACGTGTCTTTCCACACTGCATATTCCCTCTACCGTGGAATTCTCCATTTCATTAATGCTACACTGGTAGAAGTGTGAACTCTCGCTTCCGTGGACTAGGTTTGCTGTATACCTTGATGCATCGAGGCTCTCTGGTTCGTTCCTCCTAAGATATCTTCCATGCGGCCGCCATCCTCATATCAACCGCACGAGAGTGGCTAGCCTCTCCTTGCGGCCGTTGAGTAGGAGTTCCATCTCAGCATAGATTAAATCTGCTAAACATATTGACTCTAAGTGAGAGCGAGCTCCTGAGATGACCATCGGTCCTTGCTTCACCGAGGAGCGTATAGATGAGTAACAGGGGATGCTTGTTCAAATTACCAACAAACCCAGCGGAGGGGAAATGTAGGCATAAGCAGCAGTATCCCATACGGTTTCTCGAAGCCAGTATAGCAAGAGCCGTATGGGACACTTTTCAGCTGTTTTTCTATCTCTGTGTAGTAAGCTTGTGACGATCTCTATACCAACTAGTATAATAACTAAATTAGTTAGGAGGGTTAAAGAAGGGTAAAATATTGAGGTAATACATACAGAAACTGTCTCTTCATCTGGTCAGAGGGCCCATGGCAGGGGAGGGGGCCTGTTTATAAGCATTTGCAGCGGCTTACTGTTCGTGCTTGATTTTATTGTAGAAGCGTACAGAGAGCTCTCAAAAGTAGAGTCTTCTTGCATTGAGAGCAACAGTATACCCGTCAAGAATAGCATCGAAAGCAGGGGTATATATATCCACAAGTGTTGGGAGCGTTATCATCTTTCTCCTGATTGAACTAGTAACGGTTACCAACCACACTTTCATAATCGTGAGCTCATAGCAATGCGGAAGCAAGTAAACGGACTGTTCCTCCACTTGAAGTAGAACAGATTATAATATTTCCACCTGGTTGCAGTAGGTTTTCGTAAGCCAACTCGGCAATCTTGATAGAAGACAGCCCGGCGCTTTTAGAAAGGAGTAGAGTATGAGAAATAATCGCACTCCGTTGTAGGTAAATAAGATATTCATATGGAAGCGGTCGACAATTTGTTCATCTTGCATCTGAAGCAAACCATATGGGATATGCGTACCATTGTACCATAAGCTTGCAAATATCATTCTTGCACTTGCCTTTCTTATCTGGCATCGATGTATTAAGTGTAGTCGCAATTTGGTAGTGATCCAGGAAGACCAATGGAGCCATTTTCCCTTTCTTAGCCCTTCCGGGTATATCAAATACTGCTCAGGATCTCTCCAAGAGTGCCCCCTGATAGACACCCACAGCAATCTTTATCTTTCACTGTTCGTTTAATTGTGGACGCGCCGGGATTGAATGCAAAGTTTTGGTGCATCTGAATTTGTACTTCGTATGTTAATAATCCTGCAGTAAAGACGCAAGACTTGACTATAATTTTGTGTCGGAATCTGCCATTCGGCCAAAAAGGCGAGCCCGCACTGATTGGTGGCAGAGAGACTGGTTATATTTGACAGAAATCCTGTCGGCATCACGAAGAGAGTCCCCTAGTAAAGTCTCATACTTAAGGGGGATCAAAGTGGTAGGGAGGTTGGAGGAAACTGTAGCTTTTGCTACTGGAGTCCGGTCTGAAGGGCCCTCAGTTAGGGCTTCCAAAAGTAGTCAGAAAGGATCCAGCCCTTCAGTCATGTGTTCCTTCATGCAGACTTATGAAGCACGTTTGTTCTCCATCAGGAGAGAATTGAATCCCGCCGCACAATCCTAGTCGGCCCTGATGCGATTCCACAGCAGCCCCATGCAATATTCCAAAGATGATTGCCAACATAATATTAATATGAGGCCTTCAGGTTCGGCATAACACATTAAACCATGACTTAAAATACCGTTATAAGGCACTAGGTACTCAAGAAGTGAACTGGCTATCGTGGAAAGCTTGGTTGACTATCGATAAGTCCATAGAAAGGCACAATATGCTTCGACTTCACTTCGCGCCAGAACTCTCCATCGAGTAATTGAAGCGACTGTGGATCATTATAAAGACGGGCAATAGTTTGTTAGAAATCCGTACCTTGTAGTGAACTGGATGATAGGCACTGCTAGTATATTCTCTATGCGAGAGAATTGAAGGAAGCCTGGAGGCGAGGATATCATAGCCAGGGAGCTCCATTTACTTTTAACGTATGTCTTGCATGTAGTATTAAATGAAACGAAGTAGTAATGTTGCCAAATGTAGGGTTGTAGTGATGAACTTCTGCCAACCGTGGAGACGCCATTTGACTCTGCCTCCGGTGAAGCCAAGGCATCATGTTCAATCTCCCATTGCGATACGGAGTAAAGCACTCTGTAGGCCTTGCTTGGGAAAGCCATTTCAACCCATGTTTTGGGCGAGCTCCTTGGTCTTAACGGCATCACGCTGAAGCCCCGATGCCACCATTCGACTCGGCTCAAATGACCATTTGCCGCTCCTCAAAGGTGATTCCTGTGGTTTTTCAAATAGTCACCAAGTACATGTCCAATTTGATTCTATCCACTCTGAGTGAACCAGTTGGCTATTTGTCAAATATAACCAGTCTCTCTGCCACCAATCAGTGCGGGCTCGCCTTTTTGGCCGAATGGCAGATTCTGACTCTATTTCTTAGGTTGCCCAGCCACATTAAAATCGAAACCCTAGACATCCCAAGAAGAAAAATCATCCATGATTACCCAGTCTCATGGTTTTGGTTCTGGCAAAGAACTGCATCCGTCTAGATTTCCAGATGTACCTCCAGAGAGCCTCCTTGTCCACATGAGAAGCGTAGATGAGATTCCACAGGAGGGTCCTTCATCGTAGCGGTGAGCTTACTATAGTCACCATGCCCTCGAAATTCGCCTGGACCGATACATCCCACATGATAAAACATCACATACTGTAAATAAGGGTCAGCATTGCTGGTGTTAGTGGTTGAATGATGCCATATATATCATTTTGTCACAACTCAACTCCGAGTTGATCGAATTCCGCATCAAAACTGCCTCTTCTGCGCATCGATATTTCAAGTAGTGCTGCGTTCAGCTCTTCGCCATTGGGCCAAAGGAAGACAGCAAATAGAGAAGGGGTAATTGCCTTGACGAGTACAATGGCTTCTGTGTTGCTCTGTCCAGAAATAAAAATGCTATCCATCTCAGGTAAATATCCAGGAAAGATATCATAAATTTCTGGTTCTCTTCTGCTTGGTCCAATGTACTGAGATGGATTATAGCTAATCCTTATAGAGCAGTAGAAAGTACGCAGTGGCCTGCTGACATACGGTTCGACAAGCTAAAGTGGGTGGCCAGCTGCACATAGATGGTACCGTGAATGTGTTATTTGCTTGTTGAAGGAGGACACATGATGGGTGAGCACCTTAGTTCCACAAGGAGAAGGCCACAAAGATCAGGGGTTCACTAAGGCCAGGCTTTTCGACAGTACGGGCGGCGAAATTTGGTAGATAATAGAGCTGAAATGGGCCTGGTTTTGCTGGAGGCTTTCTTGATATATACCACTCTTGGGGTATCGCTGTCGAACTTCGCCGTGCAAAGGCGTGAATACTGTTTGTCCGGCAGCGAATCTAAATATGGGGACGACGAGCGAATGAGCAGCCGAAATCCGAATATCCCACTGTGTTGCCTCGTTACCCGTAGCCATCACTGACCTAAATTAGGCCGGTTTTCTGGCAATATATGGTTGATGATGCCGTCTGGGGTGCTGTGGAGTTTTTACCAGGTCATTGTCAAAAGCCACACCTGAAAGCGTTTGATTCTAACCGGCGTTTGATTCTAACCGACGAATTGGTGCCATTTATAAATTTTGTCTGGATTCCAAAAACAACTGAGAGCCGCCTAAAGACATCTTGCCGCTCTTTTCATTTGGATCCAAAGGAGAATGGGATAATATGTGCAACTTCAAGCAAGGCAAGAAAATGGGTATTATGGATGCTCTAGATTACCGTGCGATGAACCCCGATGCTTCGGAGATGGTAGAGTTTCCAACCGCACTATACCATTTGCGTGGTTTTCAAATAGTATTCCCTCTCTCACCCTGCGATAGTATCCAGAAGTTGAGATGTATTTGATAGGAACCACATTAAACGCCAGAGGCTTATGAATTTAAAGATTTGAGACATCCTGCTTTGATAAAAGCATCTAAGCAGACATTTGTCGGAAGTACTCCGTTTCTTAGAGCCACGAAAGATATATAAAGTTAATGGCAAATCGAAGCACCGCCGTATCTCAGCGGTCCAAACCTCTAGGAAGAGTCTGCACAATTTGTACACATAGGCCAGTTGTTAAGTGAGTAATTGCGAATTACCAAGAAGTTCCATTCGAAATCGTTTTCAAAGGAATGGCAGCTTCAGTGTCACGTTTAGAAATGTAGCTAAAGATGATTGAGTCTCGTCACTTTGGGTGATGACCTGAAGCTCGTTGCTTTGTAGGAGGCTTATCATCAAGATAGCTGGCAAATTTTGATATGTTGGAGGTTAACGCCGTAACTAGGTAATTATCCACCTGGACGGAATCGCAGAGCCATTATTTAATTGTTTTGAGATGAACGATATGATCGTCGGTCATTTGTATGTAGTAATGGTATTTAAATATTCTGGTGTTTCGACAGGCTTTCATAGGCACTTATGTAGCGCCTATCGAATATCTGGAGATGTGGTAGGTTAGTCTTTCACCCTGTGTTTCAAAAAAAAGTGCCTTCGAGGGATATTAGGTTGCAGCAACTGGGGTTTATAGATTCACACTTCATTGTCTCAATTTTCAGGGCACTTCAGTAGTATTCAGGCTGGTGTGAACAAAGTCTATGACTTACTGTGTACTGATGCGAGTTCGGGTCTTCCTATGTCTCTGGATCCACTCGCGGCCCTATCCATATTGCTTCCAATGGAGAAACAGACATGAAGCCATATGGTTTAACAAGGATCAAGCCCGGCATTGGTGCCTCACTCCTCTCGAATCCCACATAACCAGTTCTAATATTGGCAATACGGGCCTTGTTCCCCTTGCCGACATTGGAATCCAGGGCATCCGGATGGTGAAACCTGAGGCCGAGCCTAACGGGTATTTCTATTGTCGGCGACAGGAGGATCTTAGCTGAAGGCTTCATGCCCTCCGTTTCAACGTCAAGGTCCGCTTGCTCCCTGGTAGACCATTTGGAGGCCACTGAAGCTGCCGCAGATATACGGCGGGTTGGAAGCACTTATTACTGACTGATGGGTAGTAGCCAGCCTCCAAGAATACCATCTCCAAGCTTTCATGGTCTTCCGGTACTTTGACCAGCCATGAAAGCATGGTGCTAAGGAACGGGATGTCAAGTAAACCGTTGTCTTTGCATCAAGTCAAGCAATTTGAAAAAAAAAAGTTCTTAAAATGCTATTAGTTCTTTTAAAGTCGCTTTCGGGTAGTTGGCCGTCCCAAATATGGTTTTAGACATGAGTTGCATACACTTCCTCCTAAACTAGAGAGTGGCTTGGTGGGGAGGCAGTTAGCTATGAGCAGAAAGATATGCCTTCTTGCTTCTCTAGCGGCAAGTTATTTGGTATTGCGGTGTTGATAAGGCATAGAGAAACCGCCACAATGCCGAAGTTCTTCTGCGATGCTGCAATGTGAATGAAAATATCGGTTCTGTATACAGCAGGTTCATTGTACCGTAGATTTGGTCCATCAAAGAGGCTCCATATCGTCAATGATACACTTGTATCATGGTTATATATCAAAATCCGCCATTTGGCCAAAAAGGCGAGCCCACACCGATTGGCGGCAGAGACTAGTCATTTATTATTAACATTATGTTAAATTTTCCCCATTATAGGCAATGTGTCATTCATATGGAGTTCCCGTGGCCATATTGAACTTCCCTATTGAGGTATCAACTGTAAAACCAGGTATAACGGGTGCTGACTGAAATTCAGTAATGGTAATATGGACAACCGAAAATAAAGCCCAGGAAGTACCGCTACCAGGGGTGCATCTTTGAAGATTTGCCCACTGGAACAGGCTGGGAGGTTATCAGCGTTTAGGTCAAGAGGTTGAATAGTAGCGTTTAGACATATCCATCAAACTGTAAACTCAATCCGAAGCTCTTAAAGGGACATATTTCCGTCACGGGATGAAGAAGAGTATCAATAAAAAGGAGATCGCTGCAACTCCAACAGTCTGGGGTTTAAAAGCAGCGCTTACCAAAGACGCTGCACAGCTCGCTCCGGGTATCTCAGTTCCTCTTGTTTGAGAAGGCAAACCAGCATAGAATCTCTATTGAGAACTTGTCCTAACGGGGGTGAGAGACTATAAAAGATCAAGAATATTATGCAATGTTTCTCTGGAATGAAACTGCTTGCATCTCCAGTAATTTTGGCAAGCCAGCCCCAATTCCGTCTGAAGAAAGTCTGTCGACGCCAGGGTCCTCGGTATAGAGCCTGAGAGACCAATTCACATATATCTGCTACCATACGGTGTTGTTCGGTAAACATAACAATAGGTATACCGGCATTCTTCAGCCTGGTGAATAGGGAAGCCTGGGCCTGCCCACCTACCTCGCTTTGCTGGAGATATGAACTAACATATGGCTGTAACTGGCGAGGGCGGAGTTGGGGGAGGAGTATGTGGGCGACCTCAAGATGTGAAGATTTAGATCAACAACCTCCACCAGTCACTAGCCCTGGCGCCATTTCGATAAGAGAGCCTTGTAGTCTACTACAGCAGCTCTAGCGCCATCAGTATATTCAGATTATTCATTAGTTATTTGTCAAAATCTGCCATTCGGCCTAAAAAGGCGAGCCTGCACTGATTGGAGGCAGAGGCCAGTTATTTGTTGACATTATTAATTAGCTTGTCTAGCTTAGCTCTACAAGAGCAACATTTTGTCAAGCACAGAATCTTATGCAAATGTTCTGTAGGATGCAGACGTCCCTTACCAAGCTGGTGATGTCCGTATAACAGATCCGACGTTGCCGCATGGATCAAAGAGTCCTGCCGAGTCTGTCCGCCGAATAATGCTGCCTGAGATATTTGGATATGAGAATAAGATTTCTTAATAAGTCAAACAGAAGGAGGTATGATGGTTGCTTTCGATAGCATTGATACGCAAGAGCAACGAGGGGTGAATGCTGGGTTAAGTGTACAAGCGTCGGCAGTGATGGCGTTGCAGGGTGGTTGCTGTACTATAAGGCGCCTAGAGGGCAAGGCGAAGTAGCGGGCGGACATGGAAACACAGTACACTAATAGTGGTCTTGCCACAGATAGCCGTGTCAAGTTCTTGCTTCAGTCATTTCAAGGCTTTCATGGTCTTCCTGAATCTTGGCGGCCCAGGGCATGTAGACTGATAATGGAGGTATTTGACCGTGTATGAAGGGATTGTATCCAGGCATCCTCAGGTATTAAGCTATTTCTTTGGCCATCGTCAAGCTGCTGTCCCTTTCGCTGCCGTATGTCTTGTTTTATAATCCCACCGTGTATCACACCATTAAAGGCAAAGCTGCTAAGATTTTAATGCGTAACAATTCCCAGGCTTGCCTTTTTCAATTTGCGGAGACAGAAGGACTGACTGAAAGAGAATGTAGCAGTTTTAAGGCGTGCTGCTCTTTTGGGTATAAGATGGCTACCATGTGTGTATATATAAAAGGCGTATACCGTGGTTTTTTGAAGCCTTCTTGCTACCGTTATTCCCTACGACCATGCAGTTCTCATAGAAGCCGGCGAGCAACGGTATCGGGTCGGTGGGAATCCCAAGCCTGTGGATATTCAAATTTGAACGACGAAGAGACATACGGAGCCACAGCGCCTCCTAACCTGACAAAAGCCTTCATGTCATATCAAATAATTTGGCTAGAAATGCAAGAGTCAGGGGCAAAATTGCTTTGACAGACAGACAGGTAAAATTCCAACCGTAATTGCAGTTGCTGTCCTTTTTCATCGGCAGTTATTATAGGGCGTGAAGAAATGTACCTGGAGGAAGAAATTAACAAAACGTCCGAGGTGCAGAACGGCCAGCGTAGTCAACATCGCCTGATAATCGTGACGGTAGTACACGATATATTTAATAAAATGCGGTAGGACTGGATCATATTCTTGACCTGATCCAGTAAATTGTCGATGTCGAAGTCTCCTGTTCTTTTGACAATGCGTGAAATGATCAGTATATTGTCGCAGTGGTTTGGAGCAGTAATAAATGCTAAGGTGAGCGAGTTTGTGACGACATCCCGTCAAGTTGATGCGCTATACGGTAGACCGGAATGGCCGTATCATGCAAGACAGGATAGTTAGATGGGAATCTTCCATACAACAGCGTTGCCCTGGTTTTAACTTCCACGGGTATTTCAGACAGTGGAGGGCACCCATCCCTAATATTGTTCTCTGAATCCCAGGAATCTTCCTCAACTTCTCCTGGAAATACCTTTTGCGTTCTGGTATAAAATGTAGCAGCACTAAGATGACTCTCAGCCCCTCGCCGTTTCGCACATGAAGTGATATGTTGTGGTGATAGCCAAATGTCAGAATCTGCCATTCGGCCAAAAAGGCGAGCCCGCACCAATTGGTGGCAGAGAGACTAGTTATATTTGACGCCAAATGGTTTCGCTGTTATTACGGAGTCAATCAGTATATGGATCCGTTCTTCCGTTTCTTATCCATAAATCTGGCAATGAGACCCAGAAATCATCTGAAGGTCTGGAATAGAGAAGGGCAACGTCTGGCTAAGGAGCAGATAAACTAGACAAGAGAAATATCCCATTTCCAAGTAGGAATTGAACTACCAGTAAACTTTCATAACGAGGATCGCGGTAGTCTTCATTATGACCATGGCCGTCTAGAAGTCGGGCATCACTCTGGTGAGGAGAAGGTATAAAGTTAGTATATGCTTCGATAAAGTGTATAGACATTCTCCGTAAAAGCTGAAAGGATGTTTAGGCCATTTGACGTTGGATTCAAGCAGGTGGATAATTAACTGAAATGACAAAAGAGGGTTGTTTTCGACAGACGAGCTGCAGTCATCTGTGTGTCTGACATTTATGCCAGAATGCTCGCTGGTACCTGTCGGAGTATCCTACAGTCGTATCGGCGAAAGAAAAATCAAGCCATTCAATCTTGAGGCCGTTGCACATAGGGAATGAAGGAGTTAGCCTTTATCTTTCTAGACTTATCCAACAATGCTTGGGTGATGCTTTGCAATGGTGTGCTGGTCATGAATTGCACGCTCCGGAGGCATCAACTGAAGGACAGCGTACAAATACACCTAGTCATCTGAAGTACTGATGAGAGGTAGTCCGCCGCGCTTCTTCCTCTTTAGACAACCCGAGATGGGCCCCAGACGCAGGGTGTCTATCCGATTTAGGTTATTCAATGGTATTGATATACCGTGATAAATTTTGCTGGTGATTTCAAGCCTGTCAAGGTGTAATTGACACCTGGTGGAAGAATGTGTGTTCCGCAGGAGATGTCTTTGCGGATATCAAAATGGTCATCCATACTTTTGAGTAATTTTTCGCACGATCTCAATGATCTTCCAAACCTATCAATCTCACTGGATAACGATGCAACAATCTGGCTTCGGCTATTAAAGCCATTGTAACGACCACTTTGTGGGACGATGCATTGCTGCAGTGAGGATCGGCGGTTTGAGATATCATCACCGAGCAAAGATAGCAGAGACAGCAGGGAGAGGCGAGTCTCTGCCAAAAGACTCCAAACTTATCTACCGTTCACAGATTGGTGGAGACATTTTTACCCCAAAGGCCATTGCGTATAAGTTGAGAGCAGAATTAATCAACACAAGAGACAGGCGGTTCGATAGCTCGGCGGCTCTTGATACAACGCATGTCTCTCCCTGTTTGATTTTGCACCCAATGGTAGAGGCACATTTACTGCAGACTTCACCAGTCGCGTAGATACCGATTCTAATAGATGCCGTCAAGACGATGCCTATGACTCCTTTGTGTTTCCTTGTGACCGCGAAAGGGGCTGTCTATAAGGCGTAAGATCCTCGCTTGCAGACCCTCCGGTGGCCAATATTAAGGGCAGCAGGGCGCGCATATAAATATATGACGGCAGCATGTGGAAAATGATGATACCACATATACCATTCAACCAAAAGATCATACACAGTGATGGCGGATGCCATCATGAGCCATTACACTCTTTATACACTTGTATGCCTGATGAGTGTGTGTAAGCTTGCCCGCCTGTGTATAGAGTGCTTGTAGGTTGCTACTATTCGTCAGTTACCTTCTATCGGATTCATTTTCGTCGGATATACTGCGCTGTGGCATGACATATATAGATAGTATGTAGCCGCAGCCACTGATGCTCCATATTCTCGTAGAGGTAAAAGTCCAGTCTCCATTCAGTCATGCCGAGAGCTTCGATGCCGCGTCTCATAGTGATCGCGGAACAACTCGTCCTATCACAATTCAGGGATAAACGGGGGCAACAGCATGCTACCCTTTCTGTGGGATTGGTATTGAGAGAACATACTCAGCGCTGGAAAATGAGGTATACTTATCCAACGACCCCAACATGATGAAGCAACAAATTGACGATTAAGTAAATGATAAAATGTATGCATAATCACCCAATTGAGGAGTCTCGGTATACCGTTTGGACCCGGCTGGAATATGAGGTCCCACGAGGAAAGACAGTTCCAGGCCGATTACTCGTGAGCATTACCTGTCCCATTAAGTATGGGACCACAGAATCAGGAAGATTATCTCCCCCTTCCATTGCTCTTCCAATTCGTGAACGGGCGTGTGCCAGAAGATGGAGGAGAGAATAATATATTCAGGGCGTCCGACGCCTTCGAGAGGGCCCTATATTGGGGTCGAATAGCCCTGCTGTGTCCACTGTAAATGGCTGAGGATCCTCTGTTTCTAGAAATAAGCCATACTCGTATGTCTTTTTTGCGGCTATATTTCTTCTTGAGCATAGATCTTCTGTCTTACTGATCATGAAGCATTTCATCTGCGTTCTTTAGACGTTTAGTATTTGTATATGCATAGCGAGGTGCGCGTTCTAACTGCCCGTTGACGCTGTCGCAGATGTTCAGGTGTAATGTATCTGAAGTGTTGAAAGACACTGAATCATCGCACTGTCTCGGATTTCGGATTTCAATATTTCGCAAGCTTTCCCCTTCAGACAAAAAGTCTTTATCTCTTTAAAAAATTCTTGAGCTCACACGAGTGGTTCCTCGTCTATGGCCATATCCAGCCCCGTGGGTACCTCTTCTAGACGAGCGTCCCCAAATCCAAGCTGCCAAACGTGGTTGCGAGGCTAGCCATGTCATTCCACTCCTCATCCCATATATTTTCCGCCGCCTCCAAGGACGCCGATTGTTTTGACAGCGGACTCTTGTAGTAAATTAACTTGCAGCAGCAAGAGAACCACGTAGTCCAATCCCGGTTGAAGGCTGGTTGAAGGTTCTTCTCGTTGATGTTACCGGAGAAATGGTTCGAAATAAACCACATCAGCTGGTATAGAATATGCAACATCTCAAATCTCCGGTCTGCCAAAAGTTGTTCCCAGGACCGCTATCTTGTATGGCGATACTGTTTGATAGCTGTCCTCATCATTATCTCTTGTGGATGATATTTTAGTTCAACAGACAGGTTATGCGCTTCACAGCATAGGCTGCATCGTATGCAAGTCGCACGTTTGTTCTCCATCAGGAGAACTCCCGCCAGCCCATCCTTTTCAGGATATACTGGTAGCCCAGGATCTAGCCATCCTCTTGCGTCTAAAGCCAAAGTGGGGGAGGCCAGGTTCGCCGCGGAAATGCTGCTGGATGCAAGAAGTTGAGATGTGTCTTTCGGAGCGATCAAATCTTCATTCGCAACAGACATCTCCTGTTGCATATCCCTAATGACCTCTGATCGGGCAGTATCCATGATCTGAGACGCCAGGGAGGGCGATAGATGGGAAAAGGGGAAATCATATAGAAATACCGGATACCGAGGGCGTTATTCTCTATCCTTTTTTTGATTTCGAATTGGTGAAGAACGCCGAGTTTATTGATTGCAAATAGGGCTTGTGCAGAGTATATAATCATGGTATTTCATCTGCTATTGATCAAAATCCTGTCAGGAATGTAATTAGCTTTGTGCATTAGAAATTTGCTGGATGACGACATTGATAGACAAGGCGCTTACCATTAGTACTTATTTGATAAGTATCACACCAGAGGTTAAATCATATAGTAATGCAATAGGTATAAGTATCCATATGGACTTCGTATAAGAGAACGAGCAGTTTAAAGCAGGACTCGACGCCTTCAGAAAATTTCCGAATATTTGTGCTGTAGCATAGGTTGAGATCGCAGAAGCGCAACTATTGTGCGTAGTGCTGTTTCAGGCAAGGAGAGAATAAGGAAACGTGGTTGAAGGGAGATTTATAGGCAAACCCCGGTTGTGGGCAGGTACAGAGGCAGAGGCAGATGCTGGAGCAAATGAAGAAGTATAAACATCTGTCGAGAATACCAGAGTGGCACACATCGATAGGCTGCCTCGAAGCAACGAGCGGCCATGTGGCCTAGGCACTAAGGCCTTCGTTCCGAGAATTGGAAAAAGGAGAATGCAAGAACCAAGGGAAGAGGAGGGAATATATAACAGGGACATAGAAGAGAAAAATAATAGAGGAAGAAGAAGAGGAAGAAAGAAGGGGGTATTTATGCACTCTTCTGTCACTCAGGGGGTGAATATCCGCTTCACCGCCAGCAGCGTCACTGGAGAATTTCCGATCCATTGTTGAGGTGAATCATGCCACGGGAGGCGACTTGAGGATGGTGGGTACCGCCACACAGTGAAGGGTAAATGAAAAATGTGGTTAAAGGGGTATATTTTGGTAGTCATAGGGGAGTAAATGGTAGTGAAGATGGGGAATCCGGCCAGACTCGTCACCGGGTATAGTTAATGCTGGGCATAAAGAATAAATGGTACAGTCAATGCTGAAGATGTTAAAGTAGTTAATATCAAGATTCTGCTCTAGCTGTGAGTTAGTAGTTAGCGGAAGCAAGGATAACCATAGCTGGGTATGTGATGCGCTGCGAGAATATGACGAATGTTGTAAAACTGTTCTTTCTATTGTATGAATATTTCGGTAGTGACCGAGACACTTCATGCCCGACGGCAAACGAAGCATCTCAGCGCTCTATATTCACTAGTCCATCAGCAATTCTATGATGAAAAGTAAACTGTAGAAAATGGAAGCCGACATGAACATGTAGCAAGCAATGCTAAAAGCCGAAGATCAAACCAGTAATATCCAAAAAGAAATAAAGGTAGAAAAAATGTTTCATAGCTTAGCCTTGACCTTGTTGTTCTCCTTCTTGATCATGTCTTTCAGGACCCGTCTAAGAATCTTTCCGCTTTGACTCTTGGGTATAGAGTCGGCGAATCTGACTCCTCCTCTAAGCCGTTTGTAGGGTGCGACCTTTGCGGCCAACCAACTTGCAATCTGCTCAGCAGTCTTGTCCCCCTTTTCGATGCCGGGTTTAAGCACGATGTATGCGCGTGGCACCTCACTTCCGTGGGCTTCGCTCTCGACGCCAATGACGGCTGCATCATCCACATCTGGGTGTGAGGCGAGATAGCCTTCTAGTTCAGCAGGAGCAACTTGGAAGCCCTTGTATTTGATCAACTCTTTGACACGGTCGGTGATGTATAGGTTTCCTTCATCGTCCTGGTGGCCCACGTCACCAGTGCAGAACCAGCCATCCGCTGAAAGACAGCCAGCCGTCGCGGTGGGGTTGTCCAAATATCCTGAAAACACATTGGGTCCACGAAGATAGACTTCGCCCGTTTGTCCGGCGGGGACTTCCACGGGGTCTGACCCATCCTCTGGGCTGGTCATGTACTTCACTTCCATGTTAGGGAGTAGCTTGCCTACCGCACCGGCCTTCCGTCGCCAATCCTTCCAAGACAGGGTGTGGGTTGTCGGGCTACATTCGCTGAGTCCGTACCCTTGTTTGGCTCCGACCTTGATGCGATCATGCATGGTTTCCAGCAGGTCGGAAGTAAGGGGCGCGGCGCCAGAATTCATCATACGAAGCGATGAAAGGTCATATTTGGAGACAACGGGGTGTTTAGCTAGTAGTAGGATTACCGGCGGTACAACATAGGAAAACGTGATGCGATAATTCTGGACATGGGCGCACCATCTTTCAATATCGAACTTGGACATCACGTACAAATGATATCCAGAGTACATTGAGCTGTGGATCAAGCAGGTCAACCCTATGGGAGTTAGCATAGGCAGGTCGCCGTAGGGGGAGCCAGAGAAATACATACCATAGACATGAAAGAAAGGGAGAAAAGCGAGCATGCGATCTCCCTTTCCATCTGGCCCGCCATTACACGTCAAATTCCCTTCCTCACCCGCCTTGAGCTGTAGTATGTTTGCTACTATGTTATAATGGCTTAACATGACACCCTTAGGCACACCTGTGGTTCCAGACGAGAAGACTAAAAACGCGAGGTCCGTCTTGGGCTCAATGCGCGCCCTACGATATCTTGTTGCACCGGATATGTTGCGCACCGATGTGAAATGTTTATACTTCAAAGTGGGATGTCGGTCATCACCCAGCAATACAATACAATCGTCTGGTAACCCGACCTTTGCCGCCGCACTCACAGCAACGTTGAGACAAGACATGTGTGTTACCAGGAAGCGGGTACGGGTCTTTTGAAGCTGGAAAGCGAGCTCATCTGGCGTATACGCTGGATTGGCTGGCGTGACTACGCCGCCGGCCCAATGCGTACCCCAGAGCACCGGTGGGATGTCGATATCATTGGGCGCAAAGAGTGCGAGGACATCACCCTTCTTCCAATCGAACGCAGCCTTGAGGCCTGTTCCAAAAGTAATGGCTGTAGATTTTACTTGTGCGTAGGTGTAGGAGC